GAGCATCGCGGCAAAGAACAAGTTGAACAGCAGCGGGGTCAGGTTGCATCCCCGCCGGAGGCCTTGGCCCACGTCGAACCATTCCGAGTACTGCCCGTCGTCCGTTCGGACGCGCGCCCTCATGCCCTCGTGGAAGTGGCGAATGACCGCCAGCATCTTCGGGGGCACGCCGAAGCGTCGGAGCACGTCCCACAGTAGGTCTCGGTCCACCGAATGGTATGCCTTGGTGAGGTCGACGAAGCACGCGAACACCGCAGTACTCTTCTTCCTCGCGAACTCATGGAGCCGCTGGATGGCGAACAGCATGTCGAGCGTCAACCGGTGTGGGCGGAAACCGCTCTGCTCCTCCGGGAGGATGCCCTCTCGCTCGCAGTAGTGGCTCAGTCGTGTAGAGACCACCTTAAGCAGCACCTTGCCGGCGTGTGCGACGAGAGAGATGCCCCGGTAGTTGCCACACTCCATAGTGTCCCCCTTCTTGAACAGCACTTTGATGGTGGCATCCTTCCACTGCTGTGGTACGTCCCCAGTCTGCCACACGTCCACGACAATGGCGTGGAATCCGCGGAGGAGACCTTGATCTCCGTCCAGGAAAGGCTTGATCAGCTCATCCGGTAGACCGTCCGGCCCGACGGCCTTTCTGTTGTCCATTTCCCGTACCGCTTCCTCAACCTAAAGTAGAGATGGGATGTCGTCGAGTGGCACGGACGTGGGCCACCGCTTGACCTTGTCAGCCGCATGCAGGTCGATGGTCGGCGACTTGATGTTGAGAAGCTTGTGGAACCACCGTGCCCACCGTTGGCGAATAAACGTGGGGTCCCGAAGGACCTTGCTGTCCTCGTCCTTGATATTCTGAGAGGTGAACGTCCTCTTACCTTCAATGTCGATCATCTTCAGGTGCCTGTAGAAACCCGCCTGATCTCCCTCGCGGCTCTTCTTCTCGAGCTGCCGTACATAGCCCTCGAAGAACGTTTCCAGTGCTCTTCACCTCGCGATGCTGCGCTTCTTCCGCGCCGCCTTGAGCATCGCCTTCAGGGTCGCCTCGAAGGCGCTGTTCTTTGAGGCCCCATATGCGTCCTCGTGTGTCTCTCAAAATCTCGAGCGGAAGGTGTCTGATGGACACCTATAAGCCACTTCATCAGTTCAAGTTGTGGGCCAGCGGTAACACTTGTTATATAAGAGTTGTTTTTCGCTTATGGCCCTTTGAATGGTGAATGTTGGCTTGCATGGGGTGTTCGCAAGCTTGTTGCAGGAATTTCAGGCAAACGGTGTGTAAACAGCAGGTTATACTGTTTGTGTCAAGACTCATCGTTGGTACTGCGCAGTTCGAACTCAAGAAGTACCTAGAGTTGGATCACTTGACTGTTCCTCGCCAGCATTTGTCCCCAAACAAATGCTGAGGTAGTATCCGAGTATTGGGACACGTCCCTCGTTACCGTTTGTGTACACGTGATACGTATCTCGTG